TACGTCATACAGCATTTCTTTAAAATACCACAAAATGAGTTGATTTGCTAATTTAACCAGTAAGAAATGATCCAACTACATTAAAACTTACTACAGCGTGTTGTTTTGACTTTAGTTAAATCCCACATAACAAGTTATATACATGTCACTGATCGCAATACACTTGTCAATATGACGTCATTTCTTACAATGTGACGTAGTTTGTATGCAGTGAGAGGCAGATCAAGTAATATTGTCTCAACAAAATATTTATTCTCTAATTAAATAAAATATTATTTACAGATATTCTATGAGCAATAACTTGAATTTAATGTCGTTTTCACTATTTTATTAATATATTTTCTGTACATTACGTATTTAATTGACACTGTCGTATATTTGTATGCAAGTACACCGGAGTGTAATGTGGGGGTCTTAATAAATCGATCTAGTGCAAGGGCATACTCTCTATGGATCATAATAAGCTTTAACATTTCAACTCTAGAACTATTAAGGTATCTGAAAAGTGCTGCGATCCTGATGAAATCTTAAAAACAATTTAATCATATCAATATTTCATGCCGCTGACCATCAAAAAATATAGCATTCGGTCATACAAATATAATGTAACAATGAAATTGTAGAAATTAGACAGGATCGCAGCACTTTTTAGAAACTACAAAGTGTGTTGAAAATAATTATATAATAAACTTGGAAATTAAACTTGGTTATGCCCTTGCACTAGTGATATTTATATGTAACATCAATAATGCAAGTCAATGTGCTAAAATCGCCTGACTGCAGCATCACGTGACTAGTCTAAATATCAATTATATTCGTCCTCGATATGTAGTTATTAATCATAATTACAATTATCTGATATAAATTATGTACTAAAAATAATCGCCATTCCTATTACAAATACATTTTTAAATACAAAATTTAGTCGATATTTCCATTGCGCACCTTAACTGTGCTGCGTCTACTGAGTGATAGATTTAACTCATATTTTCTTTGAAATTAATAATGATTTGATAGTTTTTTATTTACAGAACATGATTCATTTGAGAAATATCATCCTTGGCAAAAATGTCTTCCATTGTGGATCATTTATTGGAGTTTCTGGCACATCCTTACAACACAAACAGTTATGAATTAACGAGTTTAGGCTAAACTTGTAAAAACCGTCCATTTTCTGAAGGCAAGTTCCAAAACACTTACAAAGAGATGGAATATTATAATACTGAACACAAGACGCAGTTGGATACATATTTGTCATCCTAACACCATAGCTACTCTTGAAACCGTCCTGCATTGTTTCTTTGCAATTCATACTTAGAATTAATCCTTTGAATCAAACATGACAATGGATACATCTTAAGAAATGCACTTCTGTTTCGTATATGTCTGATTAGAAATTTAGCTTGAATTCATTTATTAGTGATTCTAGGGTTTAAATAAAATAATCTAAAAGAAAGAATTACATGACAATGCGAGGGATATGAAGAGGTATGAAGAAATTAAAACTTTTATGTTTGTGATGCTTTTAAGAAACTATTTCGGTATTTAAACAAATGTATTTTAAACAGTGCATTAGCACAAACACTTTGCAACATCAAACACAGTTGTACAAAATATGATCATGACAATGGATATGAATATGAAAAAAATTCAATCGTGGTTGAAATTGAAAAAAAAAATCTTTAAAATGAAATAGATAATTTCAAGGGTAAAAGGATTCAAGGGTAAAAAATCTTAAGAGAAGTAATGTAAATATGCGGAACTGATAGAAAACAGTTTGATATATTTTTACTTGCCTTTGAAGGCCTTTCTTGGGACAACAAATATGTGCTAAATCAAACTCTGATGAGGAAAAGTACATTTGCTTTATCAAAAACTATTTTACAGACACGATTATTTTTTAAATTAACAATTCTATGACAACGTGAGTATTACGTGATATTTTATAAAATCTTATGTTGAGGAAATAAACTGCTAAAGAAGGATCTCGTTGGCCATGTGTTTAGCGGAAGTGACATTCGATTTTCTTTAAATGATGGATAGTTATTTTCCTACCATTCAATCTGCCCATCTGTCAGGAAATGAACATCTCTGTGTACAAGCTTTCTCAATATCAGTAAAAAATTAATCATTTGAATTCCAAACTTTTGTAAGTGATGCCTACTGGTGGTTTATTTGATTTGAACAACAGGTCAACGTGTGTAAAAGATAAGTAGGAGCTTGTGCTAGAATACAAAATGACTCGAAAAAAACATTCAGTTTTTTGCTAATACCTAGGTCACATTTAAGCCGATGGTCGGGCGACTAAATTTTGTTGGTCTTGTCGGCTGAAAGAACAGGATCGGGCGAGACAGTATCGGGCGACACGGAACAGTCACATTATTTCCTAGGGACAACGATGACTTGGATAAATAACACAAAAAAGCTTTTTTCTTAAGAAATCAGCAATATTTTTTTCATAGATCTATATTCAGATAGGTGACGTGAGTAATGTTTGCAAGGCAAAGTGGCAGAATCTTATAAAATTGTGACTCAATGTTGAAAATGTGTGCAAAATTTGTATGGAATTGCATAAAAAACGACAAATGGTGCATATCTAAGCAGCAAAGAATACTTTAGATTTCTTTATATCTTACGGATTAATTATTTATGTTATTTCCGTTCAAAAAATTTATATCAATTCATGCATCAAAAGTTTGTTTGTGTTATAATAGGTTAAATATTCACAAGTCTGCCAATCGTCGCCCGATCATCGAGCACTGAGCTACAGTTTGATTTTAACCGTCGGCCGAAATTTTCAACACCCTCATTGTCCAACGACGGACTACCGACTTAATAAACTGACCGCCGATGGTCGTACGATGATCGAAGGTTGGTCGACGGATAACTGCAGTTGAAGAAATTGGCCACCGACGCATGAAAAATTAAAACTTGGACCGATGGAGAATCCTACCTTAAGTGTTTTATTAAATAAACTTTTGAGTGTACATCTGTAAATCACAATGGAATCCTCAGATTATGTTCAAAATTGATTAATCCCTAAATACATTATACACATTAACATGTTTACAAATTTAATGACTCAAAGTTTTTTAATTTGCATTTCATAGATTGAAAGACATTGTGGTCATTGTTGACCAGCATGTTCAATGATGTGTAACACTGATACCCAAAAACATGCATTGACATTCTGCTTATCATTCCCTAAGGCGAATGAAACTGCACAAGTTGACACCATTTTAAACACATTAACCGTTCAGGTAAACACAAGCAAAACAAACAGGAAATAAGTCATAATTTCCGATATTTTCAACTGTTTATTAATATTCTCTTTTAATAATTTGTTTATCAATTAAAAACTAATTCACTGAATAAATTCCCCAACTGTTTATGTGACGGAAGAATGGTAACATAATTTAATTTCATCACAGGAGTCTGAAGTTTTTATCGTAAAAAAAATTCCACCCTCAACCTAAAAAAACATCAACAGGATGGCAACGTGTTTTGGGGGTACCCACTTAAGCAAATAAATCTGGGTTTGGCCAGAAAAATTTCGCGACTGATTCAGTATACTGAGTGTTTGTGCTATTTATTCAAGTTAAAAAATCCAATCTGCTTGACGACTACGGGCCGTGCGTGGCCCTTTTCTTCCTTGACAGTTCATCCTGGACTCCATGCCATCTCGAAAAACACCATAGATATTGTCAATCAGAAACTCATGCATCTTTTTTATGTCAGCTTCAGAGCGTTTTTCTGTACAGTTTGTGTTTAACAAAAAATATTGCAAATGACCATAAACTGAGGTAAGTAAATTAACGAATTCCATGTTTTCCGAAAAAGCAGCTATCAATGATATCAAAAAACCTGGACTTTAATTTGCATATTGAAATGAAAAGTTGTAGTGCTGTTGATTATACCCCCGTTTGAAAAGTGGTAGAAATATAGTAATCAGTATGTCCGTCCGTCTGTTACCCTTTGGGGTATCCATCTCTTATCCACAGCTCCTCTTATATTACTGAGTAAAATTTAATAAAACTTTCACAGAATCTTTATTACATATTGCCATTGTGCACCTCCTATTTTACTTTTTTATTCGACACGTATTTTAGGTTTTCCATAGCAAGACATGGACATTGTCGTTATATTCTTACCTATGACGTCACATATGGCGGCTTCTGAATAACATTTCATACGATGAGTTATTCTTCTTTACGTAAAGCAATAAATAGGAAAACATGGACATTGTGGGAGGCAGGGGGTATCATTTAGTGAGCTCATTGCTCACAGTACCTCTAGTTTTGGTTAAAGTTTTGCGACTTAAAAATTTTCTAAAGTAGATTAGAATTTTTAAGTATCCACATCTTATTTACACCACTTCTCGAATATATTATTGTACAGTACTCCTAAAAGTATTTCTCTTTCACCACTGTTAATGTTTTATTGAGGAGTAAAGGAAGATACTTCAAGCTTGTAGGTCACTTACAAAACTCGTTATGTATATTTGGTAGTATTTCATGAAGTTTTTGGAATTCAATATAGATATGATAATTAATAAACACTCCAATTTTTTAGAATATTATAAATAAAATCAAAACTTAATATGATATTTGAATAATTTCCTATTTTAAGAAAGAAGAAATATATATATTGCTGTGTGCTTTGTAGCAGGGATCAGTACATTTTTAACGTGAAGTCTATCAAATTCATTTTTTTAATTTCTGATTATTTACTGAACATATAAGGATAGTTGGTTTTCATGTTGACCCTTATCAATCGCTTAGCGTATAAGTGCAGTGGTTCAAACAAAGATTCATTCAACACGTACCTGCAGCATGATTCAATTAAACTATACAAAGATACTTTATTTGGACAATATTTAAAATTCTGTTACATGTAACATATATGAAAAAAAAATAAATAATGGTTGATGCTTTAAAGTCATATATTATAATAAAAACAGTATTTTATTTTTAAATACGAATACATGTACACTCCTATCATCGATTCTGTATCTTTTATATCTTAACCTTTACAAGTCAAATTTTTCTTTGTAGAATACGAAAAATATACATTTGCAAATATCTTTCTTTACATCACATTCCAAATCGTATTCAGTTTGCAATGATATGGAATTGGACACGTAATCAAAATAATCTGCTGGTAAAACGCAAAGTGTGAAATACATTTGAAATGTCTAGAATTTGAAGTTACATAGCGTCGTGCAATTATGCTATGTCGTATTTTCATTTCAAAGTCAAAACAGTGCAGTTTTGTCCAATATTTTTTACACGAATACAGATTGAAAGATCAAAGGAAACTCACGATTTCATTGAAATATGACTTTCAATTGTTATGTGAGAGAAACTTTAAATAATATTGACTTTGATCATGTGTTCAATGTCATGTGATGTCCCATTCAAACAAAAATGATACACATGAAATGCAAGACATATATTTTAATCGAGAATAAAATTTCATAACGATTGTCTTTAACTTCCGTTATGAAAAGGTAGAATATTATCACAACATATAACTAAATCGATATTTCAAGACCATACATAGTTTTATGATTTTGTAATACTGTAATAATATTACATTTAGCGGTGTTTTCTAATTAGCGATTTTGGCAGTAAGCAAAGTTCGCTTAATTAAGAACATCGTTAAATGCCTTGTATATCATGATTTATATATAACACATTAAGCTAAATAAATCCTACACCTACTTGGTGAAAAAAAAATTCTCTAAATATCATATCGTACACAACAAAATATAAATATCAAATATAAATGCATTTACAGTAATATCTTCAAAAGATGGTTGGGATATTTTATCCTTAATTTGCCGAAGCACATGCAACATCAGCATACGTGTTTATCTTTTCGTATTCCACGTTTTGTTCTTCAGTACTTTGTCTCCGTGATAATGAGTTGTAAATTTGTTCTCTAAGACTGTAAGTTTCAACTTCGTTGGTTCCTGTATTTAGTCTTTTACCTTTGGCATCTGCAAACGCAACTTTAGCATTAATTTTGAAGGAAAAATAATGAAATAAAATTGATCATTCAATTCGAGGTCAACTTTTTGTTCATAACAAACAAGGTTTTTTTATGAATGTTTTTCAGAATATTGAAACCAAAATAAATTAACAATTAATTAAAAAACAAAATGGAATGCTTAAAATAATTCATCGTCATGACAATATTAAAAATTTTACATATTTTCAGAAATGACATTTCGAAATACACAAATAAAGGTCAATTCGACTCGGAGATTCCTGACTATAAATCTAATTTGTAAAAATTATTTTGAACTTACATGCGAGTCTCTGACATTTGAGAGATATTATCAATAAAACGCTTAGGACAAGGACCAGGCCTCCTAGGACAGTGATGATAATATCGCTTTTCTCGAGTACCCGGATTAATTTCCCTGATTTTACAGGCACCATATCTTTTAATGAAAAAAATCCTTTAAAACACGATAGAACCATCTTTGATTGAAAATATTTCAGTAAAAAAAACCCGTTTTCACTTAATTATTTAGTTTTTTTTATGTAGATTATTTGAAAAAAAAAAACAAACAACATAATGCTTTATAAATACGTACATGTACCTTTGTTATGGATTTGAATAGTTACGATAATCATTCCATCGAGAAAAAGTGAGTAGTTCCCATAACACTTAAGACTGAATATTGGAATATCGCTACTGATCCATAACTTATAAGGCCTATTTCTCTGAGCAATAATTGTTTTTATTTTATCGTGTTCAACAGGTCCCATCCAATAGGCATGTTCGGGTTCGGGATAACTTATAACAGGAACATTCAGAGAAACAGCCTCTCCCGCCACTGCTTCATAGAGATACTTAAACTGCATTTTACTTTCCAATCGAGGCGAGCCTTCAATAGAAAAGAGAGGTCGATTTGTGTAAATTAAAATCTAAGAAAAAAGTCTATGCAAATTCAAAAAGAATTATACAGTATAACAATTTTATGACATGGCGCAAGGAAGTAACATATTTACTTTGTCACAAAAGTAATGTATTATACCTGTTATGTTTACAATAAATTTAAAGTCTTGGGAAATAGAAAATCACTTCCTTGTGCGTCACACTATTTTAACCATATCTGCTACATGTTTAAATTTATTTTATTGTATTTATAATTAAAGAGAGAGAGAGAGAGAGAGAGAGAGAGAGAGAGAGAGGAGAGGGCATGGATCAAGAAGAAAGAGAGAGAAAAAAGCAAAGAGAAGTTAAAACTAATAAGGGTAAAATATAAAAACTTACATTTTACATATATTTTCGTTTCAGAAAAACTATCGTTGAATTCCTTGTTTCTAGCAGTGCATCTATATGTAGTTGTATCAGTGCATTGCATTCCACCCAGAAAGGTATAAGTAAACGACTTCTTTGATCTGAGCCCAAGCATCCCAACTTTGTTCCCGTGCCTTGTTTCGATAATAACTTCGGGCTTGGGATTCCCCTCAGCTGTACAGTTCAATGCTACAATATCCCTTTCATCTATGACTATAATTAGTCCTTTTTGAAATTCTTTATTCACTGACACTAAGAATGATGGTAATGTTAGATCTGAAATAGTTGAATAATAGCGAACATTGATTATTGCGTGGTATCGGTAGATATTTTTTACAATTCTTTTTCCCCAATTTATTCCTCGTAGAAATAAGATATCAATGTAAAGAGCACTTTACGTTACAAATTATTGCATTAAAATCTTCATTCTTACAAAATATTCATGTTAAAAAATACCATAATTGTTCTGATATATTAATTAAAATTGAAATGTAGAAGGAGTGATTGATACGAAAAATCATAAACCTTACTGGAAGACGAATCAAACTAGAAGAAAGCTTAAACATTTTCATTTTGGGTTTGTTTCTCAATTATATTTTTGCATTAGTTTTAGACTAATTATGTGTAAATGTTACATCGGGTTTTCCTCTATGATTCCTTATCCTGTAGATCTTTAATGTTGTTTTCTTTTTTCTATATTTTTCCCTTTTTATTATATATATTTTTCACAATTCGTATTTAATTTCCTGGTAGCATTAACTTGTTTATTTTGTAATTTATTCTTCGTCCAATAAATAGTGCAGAATTAACAATAAACAACAAAATGTTATAGAAATCTTTGAAAGTGGTTTTGTTTGGGTTGATATAAAAAATGAGACCAGAAGAGAAGAACTCAATAATAATATGATTTAATAATTGGCTTCTTAACAAGTCATCAATTAGTCTTACATTGAATATCGAGAACAATATCCCTGATAGCTGTTGTCTGGCCTTGCGTGTTATTATACAGTCCTTCAGCCACGCATCGATACGTCATAACTTCTTTTCTGTATATTTGTTGAATTGGAAGTGTCATTCCAGAAATGCTTTTGAATATTCTCCCTATCGGACCAATCCCCTCCCAATGAACATAACATGGAGTATTGCAGCTAGCACTGCAGTTGACAGGACCAAAACTACTGTTATCATGGATACTGAGACTTGTGGGAAAATTCGGAAATATTTCAACGGAATCGGGTCCATCTTCATTTTAAAAAAAATAAAACAAAACAGTTATTTGATTATTCATTCTGATATTTTTATTAGTATCTGACCAAAACTACTTTATACCTTCTGATAGGAAATACAGAAGACGTTGAACAAAAGAAAAACAATAAAAACATAAATCTAAGTATCATTCATAAAAAATAAACATAATAATTCATAAACTGGAAATCACGACATTTTGACTTGTTTAAATATCTTTGAATGCAGCTTAAAAAATGTTTCAAGACGTGTACGATATGTAACTAAATCTTAACTTACATAAGGGTTCAACATGATAGACATCGCTCAATGATTCAAGACTTTCTGCAGCTTTACATGTGATGTTGTCCCATCCCACCTTCTTATGCACATTCATTTCTATCTGCTGACCTGTAAATACTTCAGTCCTGTTTATAAACCAGGTATAGGAAAGCGGAGGAAAGTGTTTGTAGTAAGGTGGCATTGATCGTGAAGATGAGGAGCAGAATAATGTTGTCTTTTGTCCAACGGGAACTGTTTTATTTCCAGTTATGATTGGTTTATTTGGCTTGGCTAGGATAAAGAGATATAAAACATGAAAAAAAAATATCGGCTTTACAATTATTTCCAACCATATTTTATGTTTTTTTGCAAAATTTTACATTTATTCTTTGCTGTTTCTTTTATTGGCAAATGACGTCAAGATTATCTTTTCTGCAGTTTAATAATCCATACATGATTAGATTGTTTTACTTGCTCTACAACACATGAATGCATTTAGTATTTCATATTTTGGCTTTTTTCTAAATCAAATCTTACATGTATTTCAATCAACGTCACTGACAAAAATTTATGAAAATAAATTATACTTGTAATAAAAAAAGTGTTTAAGGGTTTCCCCAGGTATTATATTTCTCATATCAAAAGTCGTATACAGAAATAGTAAAGGAAATCTGCTGGAAAAGAAA